TCAATTCTCATTTTCAACTACACATTTTTCAATAAAATAATATTTTTCATCACATCAATAATTTTTTCTTCTTTTTCAACTACACATTTCTCATCATATCACTATTTAAAATCAATTCTTCCTCCAAAAATCTCTCCCAAACAAGCTCTAAGTATTAGTTTCTCCAACATTTTTGAACTTGCGGATGGCCTAACCGTATCTGAAATCCCGTGTACCACATAAGGATCTTTCTTCAGTCCAGAAGTTCCTGCACACCAACCTCCTGGTGTCAATAGGCCATCGAATCTTCTCAAGACTTCCCTACGAGTTTTATCAAGGTCAGGGTCATTTTTATGAGCAAAAAGGGCTCCACCCTGGATCATTTCGTCAGAATTCGGCAGTGCCTATGGAGGATCATCCCATTTCATAAAGGGAAGAATTCATGGGAGACTATCCCACCCCAAAATACAGAACTCGAGAAATGATCTTGTAAGAACCATCCACGAAGATCCTGCAGAAAGATGATACCACTACTATAAAAAGGGTACAGTTTGTAGTAGCCCCAATTTTACATAAATATCTTTATTGTCCAACCGCAGGAGCCACAATTGCATAATATGTGTGGTGTACTTAATTTCCTTACCTACATGTGTATTTACTGCTCCAGATTAATCAACTAATGATATGATCCGAGGTAACTACAAGAATAGTTTCAAAATGCACAGTAATTTACACCTTCTGTAAGGTTAAATCGAACGATATATCAAAAAACAGCAATTCCAGAGGAGCAAAATTCGAACCCAAGTACAAATTGAGCAAACTAAAAAGTGTAAAATGAACAGAAAAGACTGGTGATAGTCTCATCTTGACGATGACCCACCCCTGCCAACTAGTTAATTATTTAAACAAGTACTAAATGCATGATATTATAAAGCCTCTAGTACTAACAAAAGTGCTCTAAGACTGGAATTGCTCTGATCAATATCGTCTGATGGGTATCACCTATCCGTGAGACATACTTTTAATTGGCGAATATGAGAAATTTTTCAAGACATCAAGCAAGCAAGGGAAACACGGTCAAGAAGAGTGAATGCCAAAACTTTTTCACCAACCCAGAACGCCTTGGAGGTTGCAGTTTCCTTTAACAACTAAGGACTAACTCCCTCATACTGAGAAGCTGCCTTACAATTTTCAGGTTAATAGACTTTCCAGTCTGATTGAATTATAAGATCCATAGCTCATTTATATAATATGAAGAAAACTAGAAGAGCAGTCTTTACGTCGCTAACAATAGACAAAGAGTTGAATATAGGGACTGAACTAGCAAAACACGACAGATCAAAGTAAAATTCAGGAAATACCTGTGAATAACTTGAAAGAAACTGGCATGGATCGTTTCTCTTGGCCCTAATACACCAGATTTCTTAGCCGGGATCTATTATAATAGGCCTAGCTATTTGATGTCTTCAGAAACATTACACGGGAACTTGAGGACAAACTAGCATCAATGACAACCAATGAAAAAATCTTTTAAGCAGATGCAATATTCCATAGAGATAAGTTGAGGGTATTAGTTGTTTGCTCACTCTCTCCAACCAGTGTCACTTGTATGCTCAAGGAAATTCAGGTCTCTAGGCAAGTATGAGAAGATATGCAGGATATCTGGAAGAAGAAAATTGTAGATGGCTAAGACAAATGGATAATCAACTAACTTAGCAAAATACTGTTACGTGAGCATTGTAGCTACCTTGACACAAGGATAAAATAAGAAACAACAGTTAAGATTTGTAATTGCATACTTGGATTCAAATAAAAGTACATCTTGATCAAAATGATGTCTATAAAGCAAAAGAAACAAATACAAGAAGACAGCTAGTAGAAGTTCATTTCATGAGCAAAATGAATACCAACATTAGCAAATACCAATTCTTCAATGCTCATTAGTAATTTATAGATATCTTAAAAAATTATTAGCAATTGAAGTTAAAAAAACCAATGTTCTTTTCAAATACATGTGGTATAGGTAAGATGCTTAGAGCACACTTCAAAACACCTCATTTATCCAAACACATAAAAATAAGAGAAAATATAATTTCGGAAAAAAAAATAATGCCTTTCAAATCACCTAAAAGATTTGATGCCAAGCTGAAAGGAGTTCAACACCATTTGATTGTTGTTAAATCTGAAAGAAGATATGTAACCATAAATAATAGACACAAGCAAAATTCCTAAATATCCTTGGGAAGTATCCGAAAAATTGCAATTCCTTGGTGACTAGCAAACTGCATTCCAGCCCTCACTTAATGTAAATGATTTCTTAGACAAGTCAATGCTTCCATCCCATGGTCTACAACCCCATGCAAAATATTTCAGTTATCATATGCCTAAAAACTGTAATAATAGAGCCGTTTCCAAGATAACAGTAAGTCAATAACTTATATAATAAGTAAATATATTAATACCAAAATAAGTATATTCAACTCTACCTGGCCTCAAGCCCTCAACTGAACCAGCTTGATTCTATAATATCAAAACAAGAGTTTGACCTAATCTTCAAATCTTGTCTAGCTTAATCACCTCTGTTGATCTAACAAGAGTTGATCATTACCTAATTATGTACTATACCATATTCCACGGACTAACTTGATTCTATTGTACCAACTTATGATCTAACCTTCAGGTTTTGTCCAGAGTAACCACCAGCTTATATCCTTGCTTGCTGTACCACATACCTAGGACCAACTTCATTTCATGTCCCCCTCATTATCTAAGACCATGAGCTGACCCGAGATAGAAACCCATGACTCACCAGATATCATCATTGCCAAAGTCCGTGGTCCAACAAGAAGTTCCTAGAAACCATTTCAGAGCAGGAACATAACTCAGGCAGAATAAACTAATCCTATCACTGTGGATAAGAAGACAAGCGTCATCCTCAGCCTCATCAAGAGCGAAAGTCCTGGTCGAATAGGATTATATAATTTATATTAGATAAGGGACTCCCATCAGCTAGCTATAATAAATGATCCTCCATATTCCCAGGGACTCAAAACACTTCTATAAATTTCCCTTCCATTCCTTTACTGACTTAACCCTATCGTGCATCATTTGCTTATAAGAAGCAAAAGTATCAAGTAATCAAAACTAAAGCTGTTTCACTTACTAAATTGGGCTCTGAATTTCAATGTTGAAAACCTCAAAATTCTCACAAATTACACAGTATCGAGAAGAAAAATCCACCAATTCAACAAGATTCCCAAATGTTTTAAAAGTGATACTTCATCACCAACAGAACAAACAAAGAATATCCGCATTACACAACCGCAATGTAATAACCTATATCAAGAATTAATTACACTAAAAGAAACTTAAACTAACCATCCTGCGGCATTAACGGATACTCAGAAGAGCCAAGATTAATAAACCAGTCCCAGCGCTTGGCCTGCTTCAACAGGACTGCAACAGCATGGAGCGTTGCTGCAATCGACATGGAACCATTATCAGTCACCAAATTAGCCTTCGGTATCACCATTACATTCAAAACTCCCTCGTTACTGACTCATATTTCGCATTCTTTGCAAGCTCAAGCCTTTAGCTGTCAGAGGCCTCCAAATCGAGGTTATCTAAATAATAATTGCAGGGCGGTACAACGCCCGAAGCAGCCGCCGCAGCCTCCCGCCATCGCCTTTCGTACCAGAATGAAATACACAAATCGCAGTAACTGCGGCACAAATAGAGAGGAAATAATGGATTCTAAGCTCACTGACTTCGAATTTGAAAATGACGAATTACTGGGTTTGGAACGCGACAAAATAAAATAAAAAAAGTAAAGAGAAAAAATGAAAATCAAGATTATAAACATTGAGCATTTCCTATTGGGAAAAAATAGATTTTCGATTTTGAGATCGTTTCATTGCTGGGTTTTCTTTAATTTTTTTTCTTTCTGAAAGCTGATCGAAGAGCAATTTGGACTAGAAACTGATTATTATTATTAAAGCTCAGTCAAAATTCATAGAAAACGTAAAATGGATGAACACAACGATAGGTTGTTTGACTTACATAGAAAATATATGAGATATGCTTGGTGTACATAATTTATGTACATAGTGGTATACATAACACTCACATAGGTGGGGTCCACTCTAATAAAATATTCGAGTGGACCCCATCCCCTTGTGAGTGTTATGTACATCTCTATGTACAATCATTATGTACATGTAGA